CTTTTGTGCATCTGAAACATTGTGTCCACGCTTCCTGAAAATTGACTTTTGACTAGTGCAGTGGAAAGAGGAGGAGGAAAAGTAGAAGATGATGGGATCAATACAGGTGTTGAAGGTGCTAAGCAGCAAGGTGTAGTACCTCCATTGTGGGCTTTTACCCTGGAAGTAACCCAGTAAATGAGAAATGTTATATGGCAGCACACAAATGAGAAACACAGCTAAAGTCCCCGAGGCCATGCCGATGGCCTTCTGCTTCTGCATTTGAGTTATCCTGGCACGGCTGTACAGGATTAAGATGCAGCGTGAGTAGCAGTAAATACAAATTAGTAGTGGAATAAGACAGAGCACAAAGAAAGACTCCAAACGTACTGGGAGCAGAACCTTCAACTGCGTCTCTGTGAAGTTCTCATAGCAGTAAGTGGTGTCATTTCTGGACAGGGATGGATGGTGCTGGATAATGATAGTAATGCTGCAGTGTGCGGCTGAGATTAGCCAAATAACAACACTGATAACTATCGCGTACACTGGTCTGCACAGCGTATGATACGTGATCGGGAAAGCTACTGCAATGTAGCGAACCACACTCACTGCCATCAGCAGCAAGGAGCTGGTGTAGATCGTGGAGAAGAAGGTGAAGGCGGTGATGGAGCACAGGAACTCGGGCAAATTCCATTTCATGCCTGACGCTGCCTCATGCATCTTAGAGGAAGGATGATCAAGAAGATCAGGTCAGAGACCGTCAGATTGAGTAGCAGGATATCTGTTGGAAGGGGATTGGAATGGATCTTGACACAGAAGGCATAGAAAGCCAGCAGGTTGGCTGGCAGGCCTAACAGGAAAGAGATGATGTAAACTGCGAGAATGAGCTCACTCTGTACCACTGACTCCATTGTGGATCTAAACCAAAGGAAGAGGAATCAAAATTTACAAAATAACATAACCAGGTGGTTGTAAATTACAGATTATTTTATAGTTTTATACCAGTGACAACGGTGACGAATCAGTGAAGTCAGTATGCATGATGTGCGTTTCTGACACCTATGATGATCGGAGATTATGAGGGAGTATTAAACACGCTTGAACAACCACATACTCTTAAAGTCCCTGTGATTTAAATGGTTGGTGCAGTTAGAGGTGTATTAAGGTTAGCGGACCTGTTCATACTGTATGTGAATATACCTTAAAAGTATCTGGTCAAAGACATTAGTGATTTTAAAAAAGTCAAATCAGCATTTTAAGGTTTTGCTCAGCAATCTTGTAGATACTGTTAATAACTCAGTTGTGTTTGCAGCCTCCTTCTATTTTGTAGAAGAACTGATAAAGTTAATTAGCAAAATGGCTTTTCATGACTCAGATCACATTACTATTCCAAAACAAATAAGCCGAAGGCAGCTCTTGAGCTCGGATTCCAAACAACAGACATGGAATTTCAACAGCAAAACGGATCTGTAAATATATAAACATATTTACTTACCTAAATAGTCAATGTTGTCAAAATTGTCCAGGCTTTAAAGAAAAAAAAAAGCTCCTTGTTGCTGTTGTTTGCCTTACGATGCCTTTCATCAAAACAACCAATACATAACTTGCGAGTTCAAAGATTAGGCAGGATCAACCGGAAACAGTGAGCCACAATCAAGCCCTATGTGACACACTGCCACTCATTCTACACTGAGAAATGAGCATACATCAGTGGGTTAATATTAACTAAAATGCAAAACTGAAGCTCGTGTTGACTTTTGTATTGAGTGTTTTAATAACAGACCTCCTCCCATCAGAGCTGTGTTGCAATAAACTCTGATCATGATCATTAGGTCAGAATGTAATCAAGCCATGACCCTGCAGTCACCTTACATTACACCTACACCCCAAGCTCAGGAAATAAGTCATCATTTCAGATTCTAAATTATTTTTAAAATAGACATTTCCAGTCCAGTGTGGCATCATTACTAGAAACAAAATTGAGATTTCACATTTGTGGTTTCAGCAACAGGATGGTGTTATGGTTAGCTGCTATATATATATATTAACGATATTTACATTAGAATCAGTTAATACTGCAACATGAAATAAACATGGACATACTGGCTACTGTGTGTAATTCAAGTTCTTTTACAAAACCTGTCAGTATAAATGACACTTCAAGTCTAAATATCTATACAACTAGCCATACTCAAATCTGAAGGAAATGTATAAAAACAAAGTGTGTACATCAATTATTTTAACCAAATAATTTTTTTATCAATGCACTAAAGTGGGGACCTTACTATGTGAGACCAGCAGCAGATATTCTCTGATCTGAAATTTTGATAGTCATCTATGTTGCAAGGAACTCCCCGTGGGAAGTTAAAAGTATGGTTTTAATATTTCTCAATGCTTGAGCAACACAAGCAGCAGGAGAAAGAAAATCGAATGACTTGAAAGTTACGCTCAGTGTGTTGAGGCAGAAACATCAACGGCACCAGTTACAAAAAGCCATAAACTGATTTCTGATCATTTCTGATTGGATTTGATGAATTTGGTTTTTGCTGGCTTCTATTCTGATCCATGTGTAGTATTTTACAGGTGTTTTATGCATGTAATAAGTGATGGTCTGTTGTGAACCACATAATTCTTTGCATTTGTCACAATCGCTGCACCTTTGCCAGTGGCTGTATTTCGCCGTCTCTTTGGCGGGCTGCTTCGGTGTTCTGGTTTGGTTGAGCTCTGGTCTGTCTGCGCATTTCTTCCACAAAATCATTGTCATAAACACAAAGACTGTCCACCTCAGGGTTACTCTCTGGTCTGCATGGGCTTGATTGTGTGTCTTCATCTTGTGATCTAAGAAAAAGAGAGAGGGGGGATGGATCCAATTAGATGCTTTCAATATCTCCTTTAATTTAGGTGTGTTTCATTGTGCACATCAATACACAGACCATTCTGACAAACTATGACTTCTATGACTTTTGTATGCTTGAGATTTAAGGGCAGAGAAAAAAACTAAATAGGCAACTCATATGTCATGAATAACTCACTTTTCCTCACTACATACTTAATATTATATTAATACATAAAGCCAAATGTTTGTACTGAAATTGAGAATAAAATAGTTTGAGATTTAACTTTGAGGACTGTTGTATACAGTGGGTACGGAAAGTATTCAGACCCCTTTAAATTTTTCACTCTTTGTTTCATTGCAGCCATTTTCCAAAAATCAAAAAAGTTCATTTTATTTCTCAGTAATGTACACTCAGCACCCCATCTTGACAGAAAAAAACAGAAATGTATAAATTTTTGCAAATTTATTAAAAAAGAAAAACTGAAATATCACATGGTCATAAGTATTCAGACCCTTTGCCGTGACACTCATATTTAACTCAGGTGCTGTCTATTTCTTCTGATCATCCTTGAGATGGTTCTACACCTTCATTTGAGTCCAGCTGTGTTTGATTATACTGATTGGACTTGATTAGGAAAGCCACACACCTGTCTATATAAGACCTTACAGCTCACAGTGCATGTCAGAGCAAATGAGAATCATGAGGTCAAAGGAACTGCCTGAAGAGCTCAGAGACAGAACTGTGGCAAGGCACAGATCTGGCCAAGGTTACAAAAAAATTTCTGCTGCACTTAAGGTTCCTAAGAGCACAGTGGCCTCCATAATCCTCAAATGGAAGACGTTTGGGACGACCAGAACCCTTCCTAGAGCTGGCCGTCCGGCCAAACTGAGCTATCGGGGGAGAAGAGCCTTGGTGAGAGAGGTAAAGAAGAACCCAAAGGTCACTGTGGCTGAGCTCCAGAGATGCAGTCGGGAGATGGGAGAAAGTTGTAGTAAGTCAACCATCACTGCAGCAATCCACCAGTCGGGGCTTTATGGCAGAGTGGCCCGACGGAAGCCTCTCCTCAGTGCAAGACACATGAAAGCCCGCATGGAGTTTGCTAAAAAACACCTGAAGGACTCCAAGATGGTGATAAATAAGATCCTCTGGTCTGATGAGACCAAGATAGAACTTTTTGGCCTTAATTCTAAGCGGTATGTGTGGAGAAAACCAGGCACTGCTCATCACCTGTCCAATACAGTCTCAACAGTGAAGCATGGTGGTGGCAGCATCATGCTGTGGGGGTGTTTTTCAGCTGCAGGGACAGGACGACTGGTTGCAATCGAGGGAAAGATGAATGCGGCCAAGTACAGGGATATCCTGGACGAAAACCTTTTCCAGAGTGCTCTGGACCTCAGACTGGGCCGAGGTTTACCTTCCAACAAGACAATGACCCTAAGCACACCGCTAAAATAACGAGGAGTGGCTTCACAACAACTCCGTGGCTGTTCTTGAATGGCCCAGCCAGAGCCCTGACTTAAACCCAATTGAGCATCTCTGGAGAGACCTGAAAATGGCTGTCCACCAACGTTTACCATCCAACCTGACAGAACTGGAGAGGATCTGCAAGGAGGAATGGCAGAGGATACCCAAATCCAGATGTGAAAAACTTGTTGCATCTTTCCCAAAACGACTCATGGCTGTATTAGATCAAAAGGGTGCTTCTACTAAATACTGAGCAAAGGGTCTGAATACTTATGACCATGTGATATTTCAGTTTTTCTTTTTTAAATTTGCAAAAATTTCTACATTTCTGTTTTTTTCTGTCAAGATGGGGTGCTGAGTGTACATTACTGAGAATAAAATGAACTTTTTTGATTTTTGGAAAATGGCTGCAATTAAAAAAGTGGTCTGAATACTTTCCGTACCCACTGTACTTGTTCCTGTTGGACATTGTCTAATAAAATTTGTGACCTTAAAAAAAGACACAAATGTGATCTGAATTCAGCAAATTTGAAATAAATCATTGTCAACTATAAACATGGTTTCATACCTTAAAATAATGTTAGTGTTGCACACAAACTCCGGTGTTGGTCTATGGGTAATATAACAACAATAAAAAGATTAATCATAGCTGCCGGTAGCAGCACAGTCGTTCTGTATGACAAGGAATTCAGTCTACCAACCTGCCTCTTGAATATTTTCTGTAAATGAACACTGCACAACCAAACAACAAAGCAGTCCCCAGGAGCATTAATGCTGACAACCACATGGGCAAAGAGACTGTAAAAGGAAAATAGCTTAATTAGTAAATATGATGAATGGTTCTGCTTTTGAATGTAGCTTGGGATAACAAATTACCGTAAGTGTACAGTAACGTACATGTTTTTGACAAGATGTCTACAGAGAGCTGTTTGGTGTTGCTGCCCAGTGCGTTCGTGGCTGTGCAAGAAATGTTAGGCTGGCTTTTAGTTGGTCCGCTTATTTCCCCTGAGACTACATTTTTCTTATTTCTGGAGACAAAGCTAAAGGAGGATGGAAAGGTGTCATTTCCTTCAATGGTCCAGCCTATAGAGGCATTAGGTGATGCCTCAGCTTGGCAGACACACTTTAGTACTTCCCCCATCAGGTGGCAGAAGGACTCAGGTAGGATTACTGGGGCATCTAGAAAGAGAAAAACAAAAATGCTCTTATTTTAAAGTAACCAAACCTCTCTGATATCATGGATTTTCTACATGATGTTCAAGTGTCAGAGATACCTTGCAGACCTGCCAACCTCTGTGGATTTTGTGTAGCATATACTTATTTTGAAATCAAAGTACCCTGTTAAAAATTTGTCACTCTAAACTACCCAAAATGCTGCTGACAACACTGAGTTCAATTGTGCACGTGCAGTACCCAAGTCTAACAGCTGGAGGCGGCAGTGAACTGCCTGCCGAAAAGCTAAAGAAGACGAGTTTGACCAATGATTGTGCCAGATTAATTGCACCTGGCATTCTCCCAAATAGTTGTCATCATGGTCAAGATCATGACTGACAAGAGTAATGTTTCATTTCAAGGGACTGCAAATCGACATAGTTCCATACGCAAATTTGCATTAAGTTGATAAAGTATCGTTAAGTTATATTGTCTTTGTGTCGCAGATTGTTAAATGTGACTATTCATTGTTTCATTGCTGCCAAACTGTAATGAGAGGAGCAGATCATAGAAGGATGGAAAAAAAGCGAGTGCATGCGCCGCAGAATTAACATTACCTAGAAAGTTACCAGGAGGTAGGTGTGTGTTCATGCTCCAAGTGAAGTCATGCATTCAAAATCTTGCTTAAAGGTACAACGTGGAATTCCGGGCCACATACCCCAAACAATGGGAGGCAGCATTTTACCTCCTCTTCCCCCTCAGCCAGGTTACTTTCTAAGCGATTCTGCTCCTCTGCTCTTTTCTAATCACATGTAACGTTAGAGTTTATATCTTTATAATAACCTCATAAATTAAGCTTTTTACATCTTCCCGGATAAGAGGGCGTTGAAGTTAAAAGAACCATTATCTTCTCTCCTGCCTGTCTGTGTCTGTGCCTCTCTGTCACTCTGTTTGTACACAACTCACAAATATGTGGAATAAGAACGTCATTAAAAAAAACTCAATAACAAACAGCAGTGATACTATTTGCGTGAAAAATGTTCACACCCCAGACTCTACAAAAAGTGGATTTCATTTTATCAATCATTAACAATGGGGGCGATTGAAATAAAACAAAAGATTCAGGTTAGCAAAATAACCCTACTTGCATCAGAGCCCTTTTTTATACCACCACATAAATCACATTCATTCAACTTTAGGTCTGCTCAACATCCATGCCCCTCCTGCAGTAGCACTATGCCACCCAGTTTGAGAACCACTGCTTTAACAGGAAAACATGGAGGGAAGAAACCTCAGGAACAGAGGAGGGATCCCTCTCTTTTATTTAAGTAAAAGTGATACAACACTATGTGATTTAGTATAAAAAGTTCTCATTTAAAAGATCTGTTTCTCCGAGAGAGAAATAAGAGATTTTGGTACAAAAATATACAAATTTCTAAATCATCTAAATTTTGCACCTTAGGTGGAAATATGCTTCTCTACTCAGTATAGTTGTGGGAAGTTATAGTGTTGCATCAAACGGGAACTGCTCATTTCACCAGATAAACAGTTGTGATGTAAAATTTAGAAAAGTTCCTCTGAATTAAATGGAAACTTTAAATCCCGCAAAATGCGCTTCTTGTGCAACTTGACCATTTGAAGACAGTAGACTACACATTTCCCTTAAAAACCTTCACTGTTTAAGGATTGTCTGCCTTCAAACTGCATGGCAGAGTTAATGATTGCTGCTGTGTGACTCCTGCAGTGCAGTTCAGTAGAAATATTAGGAAATAGATTAATTTCCAGCAAGATTTCAAATTACATTGAGTGCTTTTTAGTATGAACCTATTCATATCAAATAACATTATATTTTTTCATTTATGTTTATAACATGTTCTCTCACTTGTTTTACTCCTCTCAGCTTATTGGAATGCCACTCGTGCTTTCATGATCCTCTCTGCCATGTCATGCTTTGCTGGCATCATTGCAGGAATCCTCTCCTTTGCCCACTTCTCAGCCTTTGAGAGGTTCAACCGCTCATTTGCTGCTGGGATCATGTTCTTTGTTTCAAGTAAGTTATGAATACAGTAACCAGATAATATTGTACTGATCTTTTTATATCACATCTGCCATAAATGATGTACTATTAAGTGAATTTGCATTTCATGTAAATATCAGACAAAGTTCGCAAGGCCTACAATAGAAACTCTGTGGGTGCACCAGGTGACTTCCAAGTGAGATGACCTTTACTATTATAGATATTCATTTTAATATGTTTCACTCTCTGTGCACCATGCCAGCTCTCTTTGTTCTGCTTGCAATGGCAATTTACACCGGGGTGACGGTGAACTTCCTGGGCAAGCGCTTTGGTGACTGGCGCTTCTCTTGGTCCTACATACTAGGCTGGGTGGCACTGCTCATGACCTTCTTTGCAGGTTTGTTCAAATGAAGGAGAGCAGTAGAGTTCAATGTAATGTAATTATCTTGCTGGTAGTGAACAAAATCAGTTGAAATTTTTACAGTTAATATTCCAAATTCTCACAACAGCGCTGTCAAATCTGGAAAAACAATTCTAAAAATCACAAATACAATGCTGTCACACAAACACTTTCATTTTTATGACAGTTTTTATTTACAGTATTTACTAAAGTTTCTGATGTGTATTGTGAGTTACACTCAAAAGCAATTTTGTTATTGTGCCATTATCTTACTTGATATGTTTGTGTACTATAGAAAAGGCCTTTACAGCTAACCTATGTTTTGTTTTGCAGGTATATTCTACATGTGTGCCTACAGAATGCATGAGTGCAGAAGAGTGACTGGCCCGCGTTAAAGTAAACAGGAAATACTGTCTCAAGGGTACAAAGGATATCAATTCCCATTCAAAACAAGATAATTTACTGTAAAATAATAAAATTTGGAATCTTGCATTTGCACCAAACATGTATTGTGGTTTTGTCATAAAATGATCTACAATGGTTTGAGATTGAAGCAGCTCAGTCCCTTTGAGCAGGAATAGATCACCTCTAACAAGATATTTTGTTAACCAGTAGACAGCAAAACCTGGATGAGAGACAATTTTTTATAAATGAGCTGGACTGTCAAAGCCGCTTGTTCTGCATTACACATTCTGATGTCCTTAATATAAAGTACAATAATAATGTTGAAGCTGGATATGTACATATTGTATTAAAGTCAGCGTGTATATTGCTCTTAGCTAGAGCTTGTGGTCTGCTTTTGTGCATCTGAAACATTGTGTCCACGCTTCCTGAAAATTGACTTTTGACTAGTGCAGTGGAAAGAGGAGGAGGAAAAGTAGAAGATGATGGGATCAATACAGGTGTTGAAGGTGCTAAGCAGCAAGGTGTAGTACCTCCATTGTGGGCTTTTACCCTGGAAGTAACCCAGTAAATGAGAAATGTTATATGGCAGCACACAAATGAGAAACACAGCTAAAGTCCCCGAGGCCATGCCGATGGCCTTCTGCTTCTGCATTCGAGTTATCCTGGCACGGCTGTACAGGATTAAGATGGAGCGTGAGTAGCAGTAAATACAAATTAGTAGTGGAATAAGACAGAGCACAAAGAAAAACTCCAAACGTACTGGGAGCAGAACCTTCAACTGCTTGTCTGTGAAGTTCTCATAGCAGTAAGTGGTGTCATTTCCGGACAGGGATGGATGGTGCTGGGTAATGAAAAGTAATGCTGCAGTGTGCGGCTGAGATTAGCCAAATAACAACACTGATAACTATCGCGTACACTGGTCTGCACAGCGTATGATACGTGATCGGGAAAGCTACTGCAATGTAGCGAACCACACTCACTGCCATCAGCAGCAAGGAGCTGGTGTAGATCGTGGAGAAGAAGGTGAAGGCGGTGATGGAGCACAGGAACTCGGGCAAATTCCATTTCATGCCTGACGCTGCCTCATGCATCTTGAGAGGAAGGATGATCAAGAAGATCAGGTCAGAGACCGTCAGATTGAGTAGCAGGATATCTGTTGGAAGGGGATTGGAATGGATCTTGACACAGAAGGCATAGAAAGCCAGCAGGTTGGCTGGCAGGCCTAACAGGAAAGAGATGATGTAAACTGCGAGAATGAGCTCACTCTGTACCACTGACTCCATTGTGGATCTAAACCAAAGGAAGAGGAATCAAAATTTACAAAATAACATAACCAGGTGGTTGTAAATTACAGATTATTTTATAGTTTTATACCAGTGACAACGGTGACGAATCAGTGAAGTCAGTATGCATGATGTGTGTTTCTGACACCTAATGATGATCGGAGATTATGAGGGAGTATTAAACACGCTTGAACAACCACATACTCTTAAAGTCCCTGTGATTTAAATGGTTGGTGCAGTTAGAGGTGTATTAAGGTTAGCGGACCTGTTCATACTGTATGTGAATATGCCTTAAAAGTATCTGATCAAAGACATTAGTGATTTTAAAAAAGTCAAATCAGCATTTTAAGGTTTTGCTCAGCAATCTTGTAGATACTGTTAATAACTCAGTTGTGTTTGCAGCCTCCTTCTATTTTGTAGAAGAACTGATAAAGTTAATTAGCAAAATGGCTTTTCATGACTCAGATCACATTACTATTCCAAAACAAATAAGCCGAAGGCAGCTCTTGAGCTCGGATTCCAAACAACAGACATGGAATTTCAACAGCAAAACGGATCTGTAAATATATAAACATATTTACTTACCTAAATAGTCAATGTTGTCAAAATTGTCCAGGCTTTAAAGAAAAAAAAAAGCTCCTTGTTGCTGTTGTTTGCCTTACGATGCCTTTCATCAAAACAACCAATACATAACTTGCGAGTTCAAAGATTAGGCAGGATCAACCGGAAACAGTGAGCCACAATCAAGCCCTATGTGACACACTGCCACTCATTCTACACTGAGAAATGAGCATACATCAGTGGGTTAATATTAACTAAAATGCAAAACTGAAGCTGGTTTTATTGAGTGTGTTAATAACAGACCTCCTCCCATCAGAGCTGTGTTGCAATAAACTCTGATCATGATCATTAGGTCAGAATGTAATCAAGCCATGACCCTGCAGTCATCTTACATTACACCTACACCCCAAGCTCAGGAAATAAGTCATCATTTCAGATTCTAAATTATTTTTAAAATAGACATTTCCAGTCCAGTGTGGCATCATTACTAGAAACAAAATTGAGATTTCACATTTGTGGTTTCAGCAACAGGATGGTGTTATGGTTAGCTGCTATATATATATATTAACGATATTTACATTAGAATCAGTTAATACTGCAACATGAAATAAACATGGACATACTGGCTACTGTGTGTAATTCAAGTTCTTTTACAAAACCTGTCAGTATAAATGACACTTCAAGTCTAAATATCTATACAACTAGCCATACTCAAATCTGAAGGAAATGTATAAAAACAAAGTGTGTACATCAATTATTTTAACCAAATAATTTTTTAATCAATGCACTAAAGTGGGGACCTTACTATGTGAGACCAGCAGCAGATATTCGCTGATCTGAAATTTTGATAGTCATCTATGTTGCAAGGAACTCCCCGTGGGACGTTAAAAGTATAGTTTTAATATTTCTCAATTACTTGAGCAACACAAGCAGCAGGAGAAAGAAAATCGAATGACTTGAAAGTTACGCTCAGTGTGTTGAGGCAGAAACATCAACGGCACCAGTTACAAAAAGCCATAAACTACTGATTTCTGATCATTTCTGATTGGATTTGATGAATTTGGTTTTTGCTGGCTTCTATTCTGATCCATGTGTAGTATTTTTACAGGTGTTTTATGCATGTAATAAGTGATGGTCTGTTGTGAACCACATAATTCTTTGCATTTGTCACAATCGCTGCACCTTTGCCAGTGGCTGTATTTCGCCGTCTCTTTGGCGGGCTGCTTCGGTGTTCTGGTTTGGTTGAGCTCTGGTCTGTCTGCGCATTTCTTCCACAAAATCATTGTCATAAACACAAAGACTGTCCACCTCAGGGTTACTCTCTGGTCTGCATGGGCTTGATTGTGTGTCTTCATCTTGTGATCTAAGAAAAAGAGAGAGGGGGGATGGATCCAATTAGATGCTTTCAATATCTCCTTTAATTTAGGTGTGTTTCATTGTGCACATCAATACACAGACCATTCTGACAAACTATGACTTCTATGACTTTTGTATGCTTGAGGTTTAAGGGCAGAGAAAAAAACTAAATAGGCAACTCATATGTCATGAATAACTCACTTTTCCTCACTACATACTTAATATTATATTAATACATAAAGCCAAATGTTTGTACTGAAATTGAGAATAAAATAGTTTGAGATTTACCTTTGAGGACTGTTGTATACTTGTTCCTGTTGGACATTCTCTAATAAAATTTGTGACCTTCAAAAAAGACACAAAAATGTGATCTGAATTCAGCAAATTTGAAATAAATCATTGTCAACTATAAACATGGTTTCATACCTTAAAATAATGTTAGTGTTGCACACAAACTCCGGTGTTGGTCTATGGGTAATATAACAACAATAAAAAGATTAATCATAGCTGCCGGTAGCAGCACAGTCGTTCTGTATGACAAGGAATTCAGTCTACCAACCTGCCTCTTGAATATTTTCTGTAAATGAACACTGCACAACCAAACAACAAAGCAGTCCCCAGGAGCATTAATGCTGACAACCACATGGGCAAAGAGACTGTAAAAGGAAAATAGCTTAATTAGTAAATATGATGAATGGTTCTGCTTTTGAATGTAGCTTGGGATAACAAATTACCGTAAGTGTACAGTAACGTACATGTTTTTGACAAGATGTCTACAGAGAGCTGTTTGGTGTTGCTGCCCAGTGCGTTTGTGGCTGTGCAAGAAATGTTAGGCTGGCTTTTAGTTGGTCCGCTTATTTCCCCTGAGACTACATTTTTCTTATTTCTGGAGACAAAGCTAAAGGAGGATGGAAAGGTGTCATTTCCTTCAATGGTCCAGCCTATAGAGGCATTAGGTGATGCCTCAGCTTGGCAGACACACTTTAGTACTTCCCCCATCAGGTGGCAGAAGGACTCAGGTAGGATTACTGGGGCATCTAGAAAGAGAAAAACAAAAATGCTCTTATTTTAAAGTAACCAAACCTCTCTGATATCATGGATTTTCTACATGATGTTCAAGTGTCAGAGATACCTTGCAGACCTGCCAACCTCTGTGGATTTTGTGTAGCATATACTTATTTTGAAATCAAAGTACCCTGGTACAATTTGTCACTCTAAACTACCCAAAATGCTGCTGACAACAGTGAGTTCAATTGTGCACGTGCAGTACCCAAGTCTAACAGCTGGAGACTTGAACTGCCTGCCGAAAGCTAAAGAAGACGAGTTTGACCAATCGTTGTGCCAGATTAATTGCACCTGGCATTCTCCCAAATAGTTGTCATCATGGTCAAGATCATGACTGACAAGAGTAATGTTTCATTTCAAGGGACTGCAAATCGACATAGTTCCATACGCAAATTTGCATTAAGTTGATAAAGTATCGTTAAGTTAAGGAGTTAAGGAATATAATGTAAAGATACTCCATTTAATGCTCCAAGTGAAGTTGAAAATCTTGCTTAAAGGTACAATGTGGAATTCCGGGCCACATACCCCAAACAATGGGAGGCAGCATTTTACGTCCTCTTCCCCCTCAGCCAGGTTACTTTCTAAGCGATTCTGCTCCTCTGCTCTTTTCTAATCACATGTAACGTTAGAGTTTATATCTTTATAATAACCTCATAAATTAAGCTTTTTACATCTTCCCAGATAAGAGGGCGATGAAGTTAAAAGAACCATTATCTTCTCTCCTGCCTGTCTGTGTCTGTGCCTCTCTGTCACTCTGTTTGTACACAACTCACAAATATGTAGAATAAGAACGTCATTAAAAAAAACTCAATAACAAACAGCAGTGATACTATTTCTAATAGCGGATGGGCAGATTTTGATACTTCATCATGTGGTGGTAAAAAATCTGGAACTCCGGGAGAACATCAGAGAAAGGAACATAGAAATCAAAGGAATTGTCAAGCATTGGAGACATACCATAAAACTTCAATTAACAGCTGAGTCCCAAATAGCCGCCTACCCTATTTACTGGCCTGGTGTGGGAACACATTTTGACAAATAAACGCAGGTCTCCATTAAACGCCTGGTCTGGTTTTTATATAAATTCTTTGTATAAAACCTCTTAAACCCCACCAGGTTGCCCGCTTTAGCTGCTTCTAAGCTTCTTAGATTGTTAATACAAATATTAATGTTTAAACGTATGATCAATATATCAATATGGACATGCTACACATTGTTAGATCGGTTAGATTCTCCACAATTCAATCGTTCAGTTCATTTAACGGAAAACAACAAGACCCAAAGTCTAATTTCGACTTACCAATGTAACCTGCATGGTACAAGAGATGAAAATTTAAAAAAAAAAACAACGTCACCCCCAAAGATGCCCTGATCTGAAGAAATGGAGAGAGAAGCTGTCTGTCAGAGCTGGATGAAATGAATGACGTGTATTTGATATTATTGGATAATTTTTATACAAGTAACATACTGTTTGAAATAAATACACTGTTTAATAGTAGCCCTGCGTTGGACTGGCAACCTGTCCAGGGTGTACCCCACCTTTCACACGATGTAAGCTGGCATTGGCTCATGCCCCTGCGACCCTGTATGCAGGATAAGCGGTTGACAATGGATGGATGGATGTTTAATAGTAGCCTATTTCAGTTTTGTGCAAGAGGAATTAAAGACCTGTACCATATGGACGCCTGCCCAAACAAAGGCAGGGTCAATTCGGTGATTTTTGCAAATAAAAGCCCGGGCTATTAATCAAAGTTTTATGGTATGTGTAATGTCACCTTCTACAAAAGCCTATATAGCCTATCAGGAGTGAAGATTCAGCTGTGCAAAAGTCCAACCTCACCGACTCTTGCCTGAAAGAAATAGATTTGGGCTTGGTTAAAACCTTTTTATATAGCCTAGCCTACAGTCTATGGTTAAAACTAGTCGCTAGCAACGCAGCCTATTTAAAGCCTGCTGTCACTACTTAATGAATGAGCACCGCTACTAAAATTTCACACGATCATTAATGATTTTCAGTAAGCTATGGTAACACTGAACGCACGGTTGTCTCCCACTACTCATTGTTCAAAGGACGAGCAAATATGAGAGAGAGACGCAGAAAGTGACGGTGAAAGTTAGCGGAGGATAAGATCAGCGTTAACTTGTCAGGTCACAGTTCTGTCCTGTAGCCTACACATACTGTAAGTTACATTTTCATAGTTCAAAGAAAGGATGGTGTTGACCACGGAGGAGCCGAGGTTAAAGCAAATTAGGGGTACAAACTAACGTTAGTCCCTTTCAGCTAATAAGCAGATTATTCTTTTTTGATGTACAAATGAAATGCTTGTAATTATTCAGAAGGGGTGTGGTTCTCGTGTTGCCTATTTTTATGCTAATTTCTACAAATCTATAAAGCAGTAAATTAAGACACAAAAGGCAAATATGAACAGTCCAATCTGTAATAATTCTGAGGTCATATTAATTGTGTTTTCCTGCTATTATAAGGTGGTGAGGCTCAAAACAGCTTGGTACTGAGCCATTAATGTAAAATCATTGTGGAGAGCATCAAAACTAATCTCAGGAATTTTCCCACATCTGGTTATAATTCAAACCCAGTAGACTTATTTAAGTTTAGCTTTTGGGGTGTAGTTTATTCAAAATGCTGCTCTAGATTTTCTAGATTTTCCTACTTATTAGTCACAGATGTGGTAATAACAATGTTCCAAAATTATGTGGAATTGCATATTTCTTTATTGGAAAACATAAAAATCTTCTTGGGGGATGACCACCAGATCTTAATTTTTTACATTATACCGCCCCGTGAAAGCATTTTTAAATCCCCATGGACATTATTTTTATTAATATTTGTAAATTGTAGGGCTGTTTTGCACTTGCCCGACTTCTCCCTGCACTCCCCCTTCTCTCAGTCTCCCTGTCTGCTCCCCTGAATTTCTTCATCAGCAGTATGTTATGTTATATAAAGTTGCTGAAAAGACACAGAACTCGTCTTTTTTCTGGATATTTTCACGGCAGCAGGTGCACCGCATACCAGCTTGTTAATTACATAGCTTATCAATGTCATCGTCCATCCCGGTGTTTCATTGTTGACATCGTCCATTGCCAATTTGGTATTTGACATCACTCAACCCTAATTTAAATACATTTATTTACTCTGCAAGTCATTTTGTGACTGCATTTCCTATGTATGTTTCTTTTTTTGATAGGGCTTAAATTTCATTCATAGTGGTCTTAAAAAAACTCTTAAATTTGACTACCTGCAGAAACCAAAGTCAGATCAAAGAGAGATTCTAGTTAGCTTAAGCATAATTTTAAAAACATTTCCTCAATCTTCAGCGTGACATATCATTGAACCACGGATGTGCCGATCTGACTTTTTCAGTCCTGATACTGATCCAATACCAGTAAAATATTAATAAGTTGTATTCCTCGCTGTGAGGAAGAGAGCGAGAATCATTCTTTTATGTGTAAGGCAACGCAAAAAATGTTTGGGTCTACTGGCGCGCTGCGGACGCATTACAAACTGAAAAGACCAGGCCCCTTGTCACGAAACCCTATCCAGCTATTTGAGTCAGTATCGGGCCGATATCAGAATCGGATTGATGCATCTATAGTTTAAACAATGTTAGATTGCAGTTGTAAGTGTTGTTGCATAAATACTTGTGTTTTCATGATGCACAGTTCATATTGCTGTTATAATTTCATGTAACAAATATAACTTAATTTGGTGTAAAGATAAAATGTAATACATGTTTAAGAACTAAAGGGTAGAATAAGCTGCTAAATGATATGTGGTTAACAGTGTATCTATCTCATTCTGTATATTTACGTTTGTCCCGGAACTAATGTTTTCTGTCTGTGTTACCGCTACAACGGTTTAAGTCGACACTCACTGCCTTGAATTCCGGCGGAGCAGATAGCTCCGATGCTTGTTAAACTGCATAAAGTTAAAAATGTGGTTTGAAGTTAATACAGACGACCAAATGGACATTCAAGAGACTTCAAAGAACTTAGTAACCTCTTTTCACGACAAGCGGCCAACGAGTTCTCACGGCGTATAAGGCATATACGACGTTCAAGGCGTACATGGTGTGAAGCTGGATGTACCAAAGAGACCCGATGTGCCCACAGCAATAAACGCCCGTTGCAAAGAACTGACCTGTGTCTGTGTTGTCGCGAAGAGAGCTACAGTGAGAACTCGACCTGCTCGGCGCGGGTATGAGAGAAGACGAGATTACGGCGGGTAACGACGTGATGAAGATCCAGCATGTAAGATAAGCAAAGCCCAGGACACACTGTCGACATAGCTACCACAAGCAAATGTTATAAGACTTTGTTAAAAGGTGCGACTTTCCGTATAAAGGCCAGAAAGAGCTCTACCAAAGCCATCTTAAGTCAAGTGGTGTGAGAAGTGGTTTAACTTGGAAATTGCAGTTAAGGATTTAAGTCTATTACCCTTGCATACTGTTTAGCCTGTGTTTAAGAAAATATCTAATGTGCTGGTATTCATGATTGTTACATGCAACAAATCTAAAAGGAAGAAAGTTCAAGCCCCTTAAGCAAATTAACACGTTTCAGTAAGGTTAAAGGAAAGTACATTGTAATTTATTTTCTTTATTTATACTTTGAAAGGTAACAGAAGTTAAAGTATAACTTAAGCTAAGTTTAAAGAGTAATTTCATTGATGTTTTTTCAATTTCAAGTGTAAAAACAAGTGTTTTGATGCCTTTTGAGCATATTTAATTCACAATTAAGGTTTATGTTAATTAAGGTTTGTGTTTTGCCAAACTAATTCCTAGTTTAAGCTAACTTGAAGTCTAAACAAGTTTAAATACTGACACAGTTTGTGGTACAACATTTACGTATTCAGAGTTAGACTTCGCTCACTGTCTTCACACATCTGTTAAGATTCAAATAATTACTAAAATTTCCTAGTTAATCACACTTAGCCTACTGTAGCTTACACACAGCCCAAAATGTCAAACTCAAGTCCTGAGACCTGTCATGAGAATAGAAAATCATCTGCTCAAGCCGAAACTATAGACATTGGAGCTACAGAAGATGTAGAAAGGCTACGAAGAAGCGAAAGAACCCGAACCCTAACAGAAAAGGGAAAAGAATTCGAAGAAGAAAAGC